GGGGCGGGGGGGGCGTTCCGGGATTCCCCCCCACCACCCCTCCGGGATCCCCCCCGCTAAATGTGGAAAAAATGACGCCATCACCCGCCCCGCCGTGACGTCAGCGCGGCGGAGGCCGCGGATTGGCCGCGGCCGGGCCGGCCCGGGGGGGGCTCCGCGCCCACCGCCCACTTTTAAAAGTGGCGGCGGCGGCGCCGGGACGGGACCGGGAGGAAGCGACCGAGGGCACCGAGCCGAGCCCAGGGCACCGACCCCACCCGGGACAGCCCCGAGCCCACCCGGGACAGCCCCCAACCGGCGCCGCCCGCCCGCCGCGACCCCCCCGGAGCCACCGCGACCCCCGGGACCCCCGGCATGTCCAACGCGCACTTCAACCGCGGCCCGGCCTACGGGCTCTCGGCCGAGGTGAAGAACAAGGTGAGCGGCACCGAGCCGAGCCGAGCCGAACCGGGCCGGGGGGTCCGGGCAGGTGCCGCCCCCTCCCCCGGGGCGCGGCAGCAGCGGGGGCGGGCGGGGGTCTCGGCGGGACCCGGCGGGAGCGGGGGCGGGACCCGGCGCTGTCCCTGGTGCTGCCCCGGGAGGGAAGCCACGGGCACCCCCCGTCCCCCGTCCCTGCCCCCTGCCCCGTGCCCCCCGTCACTGTCCCTGTCCCTGTCCCTGTCCCTGTCCCGTGTCCCCGTGCCCCCCCTCACTGTCCCTGTCCCTGTCCCGCAGCTGGCCCAGAAGTACGACCCCCAGCACGAGCGGGAGCTCCGTGCCTGGATCGAGGGGACCACGGGGCGCCGCATCGGGGACAACTTCATGGACGGGCTCAAGGACGGCGTCATCCTCTGCGAGTACGGCCGGGACCCCCGGGACCCCCCGGACCCCCTGGGACCCCCCCGGGACCCCCTGGGACCGCCTGGGACCCCCTGGAACCCTTGGGACCCCCTCAGGACCCCCGCTTTGTACCCCCCTCTCCTGCCCCCAGCCCCAGCCCGGGATGATCCTCTGGGATTTTTAACCCTTTCCTCACCTGGGCTGACCCCTGACCTTTGGCCCCTGCTGGTCACCGACACTGCTGGGCCTGTCCCCTCCCCCCCCACTAAGTCCTGGCTGGATTTTTGGGGTCATCGTGGGGCGACCCCCCCCCCATGACCTCACTTGTGTGACCTCACCTGGGGTCACCTCACCTGTGTGACCCCCCCATGTGACCTCACCTGGGGTGATGTCACCTGTGTGACCCCCCCTGTGACCTCACCTGTGTGACCTCACCTGGGGTCACCTCACCTGTGTGACCCCTCGTGTGACCCCTCGTGTGACCCCCCCGTGACCCCCCCGTGCCCCCAGGCTCATCAACAAGCTGGAGCCGGGCTCGGTGCCGAAGGTGAACGAACCCGTCCAGAACTGGCACAAGGTGAGGGGGGCAAACCCCAAAAAAACCCCAAAAAACGCCGGGGGGCTTTGGGGCAGGATCCCTGAAATTTGGGGAGGGTCTGGGGGGGAGTTCCAACCCCAAACCCAGCACCAAACTCAACCCTAAACCCAAACCTAAACCTGACCCTAAACTGAAACCCGACCCCAAACCCAAACCTGACTCCAAACCCGACACCAAACCCAGTCCCAAAACTGACCCCAAACCCAAACCTGACCCTAACCCCAAACCCAAACCCGGCCCCAAACCTGACCCTAAACTCAACCCCAAACCCAACCCTGACCCCAAACCCATCCCCAAACCTGACCCCAAACCCAAACCTGACCCTAACCCCAAACCTGGCCCCAAACCTGACCCTAAACCCAAACCCAAACCAGGCCCCAAACTCGGCCTTGAACCTGACCCCAAACCAGAACTCAAACCCGGCCCCAAACCCAAACCTGACCCTAACCCCAAACCTGGCCCCAAACCTGACCCTAAACCCAACCCCAAACCCAACCCTGACCCCAAACCCATCCCCAAACCTGACCCCAAACCCAAACCTGACCCTAACCCCAAACCTGGCCCCAAACCTGACCCTAAACCCAAACCCAAACCAGGCCCCTAACTCGGCCTTGAACCTGACCCCAAACCAGAACTCAAACCCGGCCCCAAACCCAAACCTGACCCTAACCCCAAACCTGGCCCCAAACCTGACCCTAAACCCAAACCCAAACCAGGCCCCTAACTCGGCCTTGAACCTGACCCCAAACCAGAACTCAAACCCGGCCCCAAACCCAAACCTGACCCTAACCCCAAACCTGGCCCCAAACCTGACCCTAAACCCAACCCCAAACCCAACCCTGACCCCAAACCGACCCCAAACCGACGCCCCCCAACGCGGCCCCGATCCCGCGGCGCAGCTGGAGAACATCGGCAACTTCCTGCGCGCCATCACGCGCTACGGGGTGAAGCCCCACGACATCTTCGAGGCCAACGACCTCTTCGAGAACACCAACCACACCCAGGTGCAGTCCACCCTCATCGCCCTCGCCAGCCAGGTCAGCTCCCGGGGGTCCCGGGGGTCCCGGGGGGTCTGGGGGGGCCGCGGAGGGTCCTGGTGGGGGACACCCGGGGGACACCCGGGGACACCCGGGGACACCCGGGGGACGCGGCGGGCGGGGCCGCCCCGCCCCGGGGACAGCGGGTGACGCCGCGTTTGTCGCTGTCCCCAGATGGGCACCAACAAGTTCGCCAGCCAGCAGGGCATGACGGCGTACGGGACACGGCGACACCTGTACGACCCCAAGCTGGGGACAGACCAGCCCCTGGACCAGGCCACCATCAGCCTCCAGATGGGCACCAACAAGGGCGCCAGCCAGGTGGGGACACCGCGGGGACACCGCGGGGACAATGCCGGGACACTGCCACCATGGGGACACCGCGGGGACACTGCCACCATGGGGGGACAGGGGACACTGAGGGGACACCGCGGGGACACTGCCACCATGGGGGGACACGGGGACACTGCCACCGCGAGGGGACATGCGGAGGGATGGCAGCCGGGGACTTGGGTGTCCCGGATTAGGGGGACAAAGGGAGCGGAGGGGACAGAGGGGTCTGGGGGGGCGTCAAGGGACAGAGAGGGGACAGAGAGGGGACCGGGAGGGACAGACGGGGGACAATGCGGGCACGGACACCCCGCGGGCAGCACGGGGAGCACAGAGCGACCCCCCGCACCCCCCGGCGTCCCTCGGGCTGCCCGTGCCGTGCCCACCGCCCCGAGCCGGTTCCGGTGCCCACCGCCCCGCTCCGCTCCCGTGCCCACTCCCCCGTCCCGCTCCCGTGCCCACTCCCCCGCCCGCTCCCCCGGTCCAATTCCCGTGCCCACCGCCCCGAGCCGGTTGCCGTGCCGGTTCCGGTGCCCACCGCCCCGCTCCCGTGCCGCTCCCCCGGTCCAATTCCCGTGCCCACCCGCCCGCTCCGCTCCCCGGGCAGGCGGGCATGACGGCGCCGGGCACCAAGCGGCAGATCTTCGAGCCGGCGCTGGGCATGGAGCGCTGCGACACGGGCACCATCGGGCTGCAGATGGGCAGCAACAAGGGCGCGTCGCAGACCGGCATGACGGTGTACGGGCTGCCGCGCCAGGTCTACGACCCCAAGTACTGCGGCGGCCCCGAGCTGCTCGGCCTCGACGGCCTCGACGGCCCCGGGGGTCCCGGGGGGCCCGGCGGATTCTACAACTCGCAGTAGCCGCCGGCCCCGCGGCCGCTTGCAGCCCGACAGCACCGCTCGTCAGCACCGGCCTCACCGCGCAGCGCCGGGCACCGGGAATGGGATCGGGAACGGGAATGGGATCGGGATCGGCACCGGGAACGGCACCGGGAATGGGATCGGGAACGGGAATGGGACCGGGACCGGGACCGGCACCGGGAATGGGAACGGGATCGGGACCGGCACCGGGATCGGGAACGGGACCGGGATCGGGATCGGAACCGGGAACGGGAACGGGACCGGGACCGGGATCGGGATCGGAACCGGGAACGGGATCGGGAACGGCTCCGGGACTAGGAACGGCTCCGGGACCAGCACCGGGATCGGGAACGGCTCCGGGACCGGGAATGGCTCCGGGACCGGCTCCGGGACCAGCACCGGGATCGGGAACGGGAACGGGACCGGGATCGGGACCGGGATCGGGATCGGGAACGGCTCCGGGACCGGCACCGGGAGCACTCCTGACAGGGGCAGTACCGGCACTGGGATCGGGAACGGGACTGAGAACGGGATCGGGAGCGCTCCTGACAGGAGCAGCACCGGCACCGGGATCGGGATCGGAACCGGGAACGGGAACGGGACCGGGAGCGGGATCGGGATCGGAACCGGGAACGGGATCGGGAACGGCTCCGGGACTAGGAACGGCTCCGGGACCAGCACCGGGATCGGGAACGGGATCGGGACCGGGATCGGGAACGGCTCCGGGACCGGCACTGGCACCGGGACCAGTGTCGGGAACGGCTCCGGGACCGGCACCGGGAGCGCTCCTGACAGGAGCAGCACCGGCACCGGGATCGGGATCGGAACCAGGACTGGCACCGGGAACGGGACCGGGAACGGCTCCGGCACCGGGACCGGCACCGGGAACGGCTCCGGGACCGCTCCTGACAGGGGCAGCACCGGGATCGGGATCGGGAACGGCACCAGGATCGGGATCGGGACTGAGAACGGGATCGGCACCGGGATCGGAACCGGGACTGGCACCAGGATCGGCACCGGGAGCGCTCCTGACGGGGGCAGCACCGGCACCGGGAGCGCTCCTGGCAGGATCGGCTCCGGGATCGGCCCCGGGATCAGTCCCGGGAGCGCTCCCGACAGGGGCAGCACCGGGACCGGCTCCGGGATCGGGATCGGCCCCGGGAGCGCTCCTGGCGGGGGCAGCACCGGCACCGGCACCGAGCATCGGCCCCCCAGGGCGGGAACGATCCCGGGCTCGGATCCGGGACCGAGCGGAGCCGGCGGGGAACCGTGCTGGGGATGGCCCCGGGAACGGGCCCGGGGGGAATCCGGCCCGGGATCGGCCCCGGTGTCAGCCCCGGGGGGTTCGGTTCCGCGGGATCCAGTCCCGGTGTCAGCCCCGGGGGGTTCGGTTCCGCGGGATCCAGTCCCGGTGTCAGCCCCGGGGGGTTCGGTTCCGCGGGATCCAGTCCCGGTGTCAGCCCCAGGAACGGCCCCGGGATCGGTTCAGGGTCCGGCTCCGGGTTCAGGCTCAGTCCCGGTTCCGGGGGGTTCAGTCCCGGTATCAGTCCCAGGTTCGGTTCCGGTTCCCATCCCGGGGGGTTCAGTCCCGGTTTTGGGATCGGTTCCGGGTTCGGTCCCGGGGGGTTCAGTCCCAGGTTCGGTCCCGGGTTCAGTCCCAGGTTCGGTCCCGGGTTCAGTCCCGGTTCCGGTTCCGGTTCCGGTCCCGGGGAGTTCGGTCCCCGCCACGTGTGAAGCCACCGAGGCACAATAAAAGCCACACGCAGAGGTGACAGCGCTGGGACAGTGCGGGGACACCGGGGGGGGCACCGGGAGGGACACCGGGGGCACAAAGGGACACCGGGGGGCACAAAGGAACACCGGGGGGCACAAAGGGACACCGGGGGACACCGGTGCCACCGGCTCGGGCCGTTTATTGCAGCGCCGCTGTCGCCGGTGTCCCCCCCGAGGGGACAGGGACACGGCTGGGGGCTCACCGAGCCCCGGGGGGGTCACTGCCCGGGGGACACCGAGCCCCGGGGGGGTCCCGGCCCCGCCGGGCGCTGGGGACAGGCCGGTGCCGCCCTCCCGGTGTCCCCCCGGTGTCCCCCCGGTGTCACTGGTTGGCGGCCTCGCAGGCGTCGATCCAGTCGCTGTAAACGTCCACGGGCTCCGACAGGTCTGGGGGCGCCGTTAAGGCTCTAACGCGGATTTGGGGAGTCCCGGGGGGGGTTCCGGGGGGGTCCCGGTGGGTCCCGGTAAGGATACAGGTGATGGGGGTCTGGAACTCCTCCAGGCACACGGTGCACGAGATCACCCCGGTGTTCCGGGCGCGGTCCCTACGGGCCGCGAGAGGCTCGGGAGCGCTCCGGGCTCCGTCCCGACCCCTCCCGGTGCTCCCGGTGCCCCCCCGCCGCCACCGGGACCGGGACCTCCCTCCCCGGTACCGGCACCGCCGCCTCGTGTCCCCGCCCTCCGCTTCCCCCCCCACCCCCCGGGTTCCTCCTCGCTCTTTCCGCGCCGCCGCCGCCCCCGTGCGCGGTTCCCGGTGTCCCCCGGTGTCCCCCGGTGTCCCCCCGGTGCCCGGTGTCCCCCGCTCACATCTTGACGTCGCAGGACTTCTCGTGGTTGCAGAAGGGACACGTGAACTGCGTCTCCAGCGTCCCCGTCATCTTCTTCTTGGGCGGCGGCTTCCGCTTCGACTTGCGGCGGCCCATGGCGGCCGCACCGGAGCCCGGAACCGGGAACGGCCGCGGCAACGGGAACTACAGCGGGATCGGCCGCGGGAGCCGCCTCGGAGCGGCCCCGAGCCGCTGTGGGACGAGCCGGGGGCGGCTGGACCCCCCCGGGACCCTCCGGGACCCTCCCGGTTCCCCCCGGTCCCTCCCGGTTCCCCCGCTCCCTCACGCCGCGCTCCCGGAAGTGTCGCCCCTCCGCCCTCAGCCAATCAGCGGCGGGAAAACCGCGCTCCGCCCCACGTGACACACGAGCGCCCCGCTCATTAGTCGACGGGCCCAGCCCTCCAGCCAATCAGCAGCGCGCAACTCGGGCTGTCCCGCCCACCAGATGGACGCGCGGGGCAACCAATCAGCAGCGAAGCAGGCGTGACCAGCGCCTCCAGGCCCCGCCCCCCGCGCGGTTTTTGGAGCGAATCGCGGCGGATTCGGGTCCGGCAGCGCCGGGCAGAGCCTTTATTGCGGGGGGGGCACGGGGGCGGCCCCTGGGGTCAGGGGTCAGCGGCCCCAGGGGTCAGGGGTCAGTGTCCCCAATGTCCCCCCAGGTCAGGGGTCAGCGGCCCCAGGGGTCAGGGGTCAGCATCCCCAATGTCCCCCAAGGTCAGGGGTCAGCGTCCCCAATGTCCCCAGGTCAGGGGTCAGCGTCCCCAATGTCCCCCCGGTCAGGGGTCAGTGTCCCCAATGTCCCCAGGTCAGTGTCCGCTCCCCGGTGTCCCCAAGGGCTCAGAGATGGCGGGCTGTCCCCAAAGCCCGTGGTGCCGGTGTCCCCGGTGTCCCCTGAGGGGACTCAGCGATCTCGGGGTGTCCCCAGGGAAGGGGTCTTGCTGTCCCCCTGCCCCCTGTCCCCAGGGAAGGGGTCCCAGTGTCCCCAGCGTCCCCCTGTCCCCGTGTCCTGCTGTCCCCAAATAAGGGGTCCCAGTGTCTCCCTGTCTCTGTCCCCCCTGTCCCCCTGTCCCACTATCCCCAGGGAAGGGGTCCCTCTGTCCCCAGTGTCCTCCTGTTCCACTGTCCCCAGTGAAGGGGTCCTGCTGTCCCCCCTGTCCCGTTGTCCCTGTGTCCTGCTGTCCCCAGTGAAGGGGTCCCAGTGTCTCCCTGTCCCTGTCCCCCCTGTCCCCGTGTCCTGCTGTCCCCTGTCCCCGTGTCCTGCTGCCCCCAGGGAAGGGGTCCCCGTCCCCCCATCCCTGTCCCGTGTCCCGGTGCCCTCAGAGCTGGCGCGGTGGCAGCGTCACGCGGTGCAGGACGCGCCCGGTGGCCTCCAGGAAGGTGACGGTGGCGGCGCGGGGCTCCAGGCGCACGTGGGCGAAGCCGCCGGGGCTGGCGGGGCTCCCGAAGAAGAAGCGCAGCGCCCCGGGGGGCACCGAGCCCTCGTGCGGCCGCGAGTCCTCCATGAAGTTCCCGGCGCCGCTCAGGACGTAGCCCACCCCCCCCTCCTCCAGGTACTGCGGGGGGAAGGGGGGGTCAGGGGGGAGGGACGCACCTGAGGGACCCCCCAGGGGCTGCCCCGGAGGGATCGAGGGGTCCCCGGGCACGTCTGGGGGTCCCCGGGCAGCTCTGGGGGTCCCTGGGCAGCTCTGGGGGTCCCCGGGCACGTCTGGGGGTCCCCGGGCAGCTCTGGGGGTCCCTGGGCAGCTCTGGGGGTCCCCGGGCACGTCTGGGGGTCCCCGGGCAGCTCTGGGGGTCCCCGGCCCTTTGAGTCCCTCCCTGGGCTGGGTTTGGGGCTCCCTGCACACCTTTGGGGGTCCCTGCAAATCTCTGGGGGGCCCTGCGCATGTCTGGGTGTCCCCGGGCACGTCTTGGAGTCCCCGGGCAGCTCTGGGGGTCCCCACACACCTTTGGGCTCCCCGCAGCCCCGGTGCCCATGTCTCACCTGCCCACCCCTCACCTGTCCCCATCTAACCTGCAGGTTGTGCCTGTGCCCACCCCTCACCTGCAGGTTGTGGTTGTGCCCCCTGCCCGTGCCTCCCCTGGGGGCCGTGCCCACCCCTCACCTGTGCCCACCCCTCCCCCGTGCCCGTCTCACCTGCAGGTTGTGGTCGTGCCCCCTGCCCACCCCTCACCTGCAGG